TTCATCCATCTTCTATATATGTATGATCATAGGCAGCAATTTAATAATGATATAACTAATTGTGGGAATTGAATGAGAACCAAATTAGAATATCTTCTATATATGTATGATCATAGGCAGCAATTCAATAATGATATAACTAATTGTGGGAATCGAATGATAACCAAATTAGAATACATTTGAAAAGTTTTTTAAGTCTCTTTACTTCTCCAATTTTCATTCTTTTCTCATCCATCTTCTATATATGTATGCGAATTATATACGTAGTAATTAATTGTGGTAGTTGAATGGGAACCAAATTAGTATACATTTGGATGTCATACCAACTGTTCATTGGATTCCTAATTGCAATCTCTAAAGCCAAAAACATATATAGAGTTTATTAGTATTATTGTCACTACTATTATTGCTACTGCATGCAATTACAGAGTACTATTTAGTATGCATATATGTGCCATCATAATTAGTGTTGTTAATTTGTTGTATTGTTTTCAGTATTATTATCATCCATGGGCACAGAAATTAAATGAAATACTAGAGGCAGTTTGCATTTTAGAAAACCAAACCATTATACTCACCTCCCTCAATGTTAATAAACTCTAGACAATTACTTTAGTTATTATATTTGTGTGAAATTTATAATTCTCCAGTTTTATGAAATGTTCTTAGAAAAGAACATTTGGGTATTAACGTACTTAATTTGCATGTTAAATTTCTTAGGTTCTGGAAAGACAACAACGTGTACAAAGTACGCGTATTATCATCAGAAAAAAGGCTGGAAACCTGCCCTGGTATGTGCCGATACTTTCAGAGCGGGAGCTTTTGATCAGCTCAAACAAAACGCAACAAAAGCTAATAAGATTCCCTTCCATGGGAGTTATACCGAGCCCGATCCCGTGAAGATTGCGGTGGAAGGTGTGGAGAGATTAAAGAAAGAAAACCATGATCTCATTATTGTTGACACCAGCGGGCGCCACAAACAAGAAGCTTCTCTCTTTGAAGAAATGCGCCAAGTTTATGAAGCAATCCAGCCAGATCTGGTTGTGTTTGTCATGGATGGAAGCATTGGTCAAGCTGCGTTTAGTCAAGCTCATGCTTTTAAGCAAACTGTTGAGGTTGGAGCTATTATTGTCACCAAAATGGATGGCCATGCAAAAGGTGGTGGCACTCTTAGTGCGTAAGTACTGCTACGTACTCCCTCCGTCCCCCTATAATTGTCCCATTTTTTCATTTTTGGATGTCCCTTTATTATTGTTCCATACCATATTTGGTAACATTTGTATGGCTCTAATTCATTCTTACTTTATTTGCACTTTATCAACTCATTACCAACCACATAAATCTACTTTTCTTAAAAACCACACCACACCCTTCCGTACCAATATTAGGGGGACGGAGGGAGTATTATTTTTGTTATTATTATTATTATTGATTATTGATGTTTTCTCCAAAAAAGGTTTAACCCCAAGGGCCAAGGGGCAAGGCCCGAAGCCCCAGCCTGACAGAGTTGGTAGACGGGTAAATGCATAAATGGCACCTGAATTAGTGATATTGCTACATTTTGATACTTTAACTCATAAATGAAACAAATCACTACTATATTTGTATGTAAACGTTTCAAACAACAATTCTATTTGATTTTCCGACCAAAAAATGCTATGTGGTGGCCGGGATTTGATGTGTACAGTCCACCATACATTGGCCGCATAAATAAAGCTTATGTACAGTTGACTGTAGTCTGTACGGATAGAATCTTGACTGCCATGTAGAGTTTTTTGGCCATAAATATGAATCGTGATGCTAGTTGAAATATTTTTGTATAGTTATGGTACTGATTTGTTCCATTTTAGTATTAAGGTATCAAAATGCAACAATACCCATAGTTGAAGTACTCTTTACGCATTTGATCCGTTGGAAGACCTTATATTTGTGTCCGCTGTCCACTAGAGATACAGGCCACCACATGAGTTGGAACCTCCACCTTCACATGGTAGCTGTGAGTTTCGATCCGTAATTATTCTTTCAACTTTCCCTGACCAACTTGACCAACTGAGCTACCCATGTAACATTAATATTCACTTTTGTTTATATGGGTGGACGGATATTCTAACAATAAAGTTTAGTATACTCCAATCTATTAGAAAGTATTGATCTCTATTGGTTTTACAAAATTTACAGTATTGCGGCAACAAAGAGTCCCGTTATATTCATCGGAACAGGAGAACATATGAATGATTTTGAAGTTTTTGATGTCAAGCCTTTTGTTAGTCGCCTTCTAGGTATTTATTTATTCATTTAGTATACTATACCTTCTCTTGGGTTCTCTTGGGTTACTTTTTATTTTTTTTCAAAGTTAATCTGTTTGTACTTGTTAACTACGGAGTACTAATTAATAATAATAATGATTCTTTTCTTCTTTATTTAGGGATGGGCGACTTGAATGGAATCAGGGACAGGCTTCAAGAGGTTGTTCCGATGGATCAACAACCTCATTTTCTACAAAAACTCTCAGAAGGAAATTTTACATTGAGAAGTTTTTACGAGCTATTGCAGAGTGTTCTCAAACTCGGCCCGTTAAACAAGATTTCCTCGATGCTTCCGCAACGCTTTGCTGAATCATTGGTGCCAAAAGACAATGTGAAAGAAAGCCAAGAGGCAATGATTAAACGTTACACAGTCATGATGGACTCGATGACCAATCAAGAACTGGATAACCCAAAACTGCTTATGAATTTGTCGTCCCGAGTAATGAGAATTGCCCGAGGCTGTGGTCGCCAGGTTGAAGAAGTAACGGCGATGTTGCAGGAATACAAGAATCTTGCGAAAGAGTTTTCGAAGATTCCTAAGAAATCCAAGAACATAGGACAACAGATGAGCAGTTTGATCCCTCCACAGATGCTGAAGCAGATTGGAGGGATGGGTGGCTTGCAAACACTGATGAAACAAATGAGCGCAAACTTTGACCGGCACATAGATTAAAGAATGACAACAAATGTTGCTTACTTTTTACACATTTGTCCATCTTTCTAAAAGTAGATGTCTTCATGTTAATGAGAAAAAAGTAAAAGTAGGGGTCACTTTATTCTTATTTACATACCTAAAATAGAAAATGGAAAATCATTTTGGGACAACCAAAATAGGAAATGTTGTAAATCAAATTGGTTCGTTGAATCCATTTTTTTTTAACTTTGTTACGGTCAGTCAACTTCTATACTAAACATAAGTTTTCACTGTGGAATTGTTTAAAAATTAAAAAAAAAGATAAAAAAATAGTTTTCATTTGACTCTTGTACTTTAATAACAAAATCTATTTCATTATGGTTTCATAACTCATTCAAATCTTTCACTACTTTCAACCAATTCAACACAATTGGAATTTAGCAATTCACTCAAATTTGGGGTTTTAATAAAAATAGTACTACTAAATACCAATTCATCCTAATTGATTTTTAGAAACACTTGATAGACATACTTAAGGGAATAATTACACATATATAACTAAAATAAATATTGTTTATAAAAATTTGATAGCAGTTTAACTTGAGTAATATATTTGGAAAAAATCATACTAAATGCCGAATACTAAATTAAGGAGGCTGGAGGCCCATGGAATGTTTCACTCTCCCTCGGTTCATTCCATCTTTCAACCTGAGAATTGAAAAGCAATAAAATGCATGATAAATTAAAAAACGTAATAATTACAATAAAAGATTACATCATATACTAATATATAAAACTTTTTTTTTGCAGAGTATACCTAATTTTGTTCTATGCTATTTATTAATTATTCCTCAATTTGGTACCCAATTTTTTGGACTCGTTTTGATCATTGGCTATAAAATTTTGATCTAATTTTGTACTCATACATGTCTTTTTTGTTTACTGAGAGTAGCACCTATAGAAGATAAAATGCATGAGCCTCGATTGTGGTGATTTGGTCATGTTTGCTGAAAATTGAATGATGCGCGGATGCACCCATTAGACGACCTGAGAGGTGAGGAAAAGAGGCGGGGAGGAGAGGGGGAAGAAGATCCAAATTCCAAACAGTCTTGTATCAAAGGAATAAAGACCAATATGCATCTTATTGGACTCATTTTCATAACCTTTATTTATTCAAAAGAATTGTTATAAATAAGACTAGAAACATAAATAAAATGCACGTATAAATTGAAATATTTTTATTTTATTCTAAAAAAAAACTTACTTGATCTCATTAGAGGTAGTATAAAACTTTATCTAATATGAGTGAGTGTGTCCTTTTTAGAAAGAAAATAATGATATTCTATTATATACTTTGCTTATGTTTTAGTCTATGTTATACGGAGTATTCCAAAACATCACTTTATCATTTTTAATTTAGATTTAAATAATTCAACTGCTACATTTTCATTGGTCCATGTGGACAAAGGTATGATACCTTATGGGTACATAGAATCTACTCTAAAAAATACTTAGTGAAATTTTAAACTTAGTAAATTCTTTAAATGCCGGACCCCATTAACCTACTAGTTCTAGCTCCCAATGACATCATGATATATGCATTTATATAGAAGCTGGCTAAAAGAGTAATACTTCCTACGTAGTAATACAAATCCTAACTATATCATTTTTTCTGTGGCACAAAGATTACAACAAAGAAATGAAGTCAAGAGTGATGGTGAAGGAAACTCACATTGTAAAACCTGCGGAGGATACTCCAAAAGTGGTGATGCATATATCCCAATGTGACCAAGTTGAGCCTATTATACAATTCCCCACCGTCTACTTCTACCGATCGGGAAATCCATCCATTGCTCACACATTAAAGGACGCCCTCAGCAAAGCTCTTGTCATATTTTACCCCTTAGCTGGTCGTCTCCACCCGCTAAGTGGCGATGGTAGCGTCGATATTCATTGCAACTCCGAGGGGGCATTGCTCCTCGAAGCCGACTCAGAGTCCGAAGTCAACGATTACGGTGACTTCCGTCCCACACCAGAGCTCTTGGATCTCATCCCAACATTAGACCCCAAAACTCCACTTCACGAGCGACCTTTACTGCTCGTGAAGCTCACTCGCTTTGCCTGCGGAGGCGTTGCTCTGGGCATGGCTGTGTCGCATGTCCTTGTTGATGGGCTGAGCGGTCTACATTTTGTCAATGTATGGGCGACGATTGCTCGAGGAGAGCAACCGTCCCGTGCTGACATGCCGTTCCTTGATCGGAACGTCTTACAACAACGTATTGACGTGATAAGTGGTGAGTTTTATACTGTCCATCTTATTGCTAATCAAGATTGTATTCATCCATTTAATGGACATTCTTGATTATATTCTTCCCTGAACAGATACTGGTTTGACTGGATTTCCCTTTCCTCAACCTCCTTTGCTCATAGGCAAGTCGGGTAACTTGGAAGAGAGGGAAAAACCGACTAATCTCTTGGTTTTGAAGCTAACCAAACAGAACATTGATAAATTGCGGGAAATTGCAAACGAAGGTGGGGCCAAGTATAGCCGCTTCGAAGTAGTGGCGGGGCATATCTGGAGGTGCGCAACAGAGGCGAGACGACACCGTTCCGAGCAGCCGACGAATCTGTACGTACGGGTGGATTTCCGGAGCCGGCTGAATCCTCCGCTGCCGCCGCACTACTTCGGGAACGCCATCATCCAGGCGGCGGCAACCGCTTTGTCGGGAGAGCTGCTGCGTAATGGATTGGGCTACGCCGCCGGTAGGATACGCGAAGCTGTGATGAGTATTACGGACGAATATGTGAGGTATGTGTGGGGTTTCATGTTTTTTTTTTCTAAAAAAAAAAGAAATATTCGCGTCTAACGGTGGAGACCACTTGCCCGAGCCTGGACAACCGGACCGGTCCAATTTGGTCGGATTTTCTGATAAATATTTGCTCACCTCTCACTTATGAGTCTTATGTCACTAAAAAATTGCATCAAGACGTCCTAAAATTAGAAAATATTGTTTGGAGTACGGGTATGACTAATGACATTTTACATTGGATTGAAAATTTTAATTTAATTTTATCTCATCTGAAATAATGAAGAAAAAGATCAAATAAGGTCTTCTATTGTTTCAGAACCGCCACCGAAGGTCATTTACTCAATAAATTGTCAGAAAAATACATCTACTTATAAAAAGCAATCGGATGAGTCATACCAGTCCCTTGACAACCTCCTAATCCCGATTGTATCTTATGTGTCGCTATTTTTTGCCTTGTATTTAAGCCAATTCCGATTAAATATTCCACATTAGACTTATAATCTATTTCAAAAAGATAGTCGGACTTACGCTAAAATCGGGATTACAATGTTGTCAAAAGGTCTTTAATTAGAACTCATTTGATTATTTTTTATTAGTAGACGTATTTATATGACACTTTATTTAGTACACTTTATTTAGTACACATCTTTATGTGATAATTTCTCAATAGTAGAAGATTTTTTTGACTCTTTTCTCAAAATAATGAGATAGATGTCGGTATTATGCATATTTTGTTATTGTTTAAATTTGATATGTTTTATGGAAAATTATACGGTGCAACCGGCACACCATTAGGATGGTGTGCCAGGTTGCAAAGTGACGCAGCATGGCTGTTTTTTTTTTCCTTTTATTGTTAAAAAATGATAATAACTTTTTTATTTTTGATCCGATTTTTATAAAATTTATATCAACATTTTTTATTTTTCATGATCTTTCAAATGAGACCAATATTGCTTATGTAATTTTAAGAAATTATCGAACTATTATATTAATGAGTATTGGATTATAAGGAAAATGAAATCTGTTTGGGAAATGATAGGTTTGTGAAATAGAAGATCGAATCTGTTTGGGAGTGGATCAGTGGCCTCAGTTACATTTGATAATACATTGAGTTACATCTTTTTATGAGCGATTTACATCTTTTTATAAGCAAGTTACATCTTTTTATAAGCGAGTTACATCTTTTTATAAGCAAGTTACATCTTTTTATAAGCGAGTTACATATATATATATACACACGAGTTGCATTTGACATGCCTAAACGTGACTTACATATATTTACACGTAAAGTTACATATTTATACACGCGAGTTACATATTTATACACATGAGTTGCATTTGACCTGTCTGAACGCGAGTTACATATTTTTTTACGTAAAGTTACATATTGTTACACGTAGAGATACATATTTATACACACGAGTTGCATTTGGCCTGACTGAACGTGAGTTACATATTTTAACACGTAAAGTTACATATTTTACATGCAAATGTTAATATGTTAAAATTACATAGTCAATATTGGTCTCATTTGAAAGATCATGAAAAATAAAAAATGTTGATATAAATTTTATAAAAATCGGATCAAAAATAAAGAAGTTATTACCATTTTTTAAAAAAGAGAAAATAATATCAAATGGGTGCATGGTGCTCACCATGCACCCGTTGCACGGTATACGCACTGATGTTTTATGACTCGCATAATTTATTTAAAAGTTTAAAACCCTTTAATGATCGCAAATTATATCCTGCAATCGGCGCACCATGAGGATGGTGCGCCCGGTTGCAAAACTACGTAACAATGAGAATGGTTGGCCTGATTTCATTATTTTTTTTTTGCTTTTGTTGTTAAAAAATGGTAATAACTTTTTTATTTTTGATCTGATTTTTATAAAATTTATATCAACATTTTTTATTTTTCACGATCTTTCAAATGAGACCAATATTGCTTATGTAATTTTAACAAATTATGGAACTATTATATAAATGATTATTGGATTATAAGAAAAAACGAACTAAATTTAATACAAAAAAATAATTGTGTAAATCACAATTTATCTTAAAATTGTGTATATAAAAAATCATTGAGTTACATGTGAGTTACATATTTTTATATGTGAAGTTACATATATTTACACGTAAGTTACATATTTCTACACGCGAGTTACATATATATACACACGAGTTGCATTTGACCTGTCTGAACGCGAGTTACATATATTTACACGTAAAGTTACATATATATGCAATTTACATTTGTATCAACATCAAGTCACATTTTGATTAACATGATTTACATTTTCAATTTCCCTGAATTAACTTTTTAATTAACGCACCTTACAATTTTGAAATTTCTCAAGTTACATTTTGGATACACTCGAGTTACATATCAATTTGATAAAAGTTACATCTTGTAACACGCGATTTACATTTCGTATAAAAGGTGAGAGAACCACTAGAGGGTGTAATATGAGTTACATTCCAGGCAGCGAGTTACATTTGTAGTTAACTGAGATTACATTTTATAGCAACACGAGTTACATTTCAATACATAGGATTTACATCACATAAAATATTGAGACAAAAATTAAATTACATATTTTTACATGCAAATGTTAATATGTTAAAATTACATAAGCAATATTGGCCTCATTTGAAAGATCATGAAAAATAAAAAAAATTTGATATAAATTTTATAAAAATTGGATCAAAAATAAAAAAAAAATATTAACAATTTTAAGAAAAGGAGATATAAAAAATAACAAAGGGTGCATGGTGTTCACCATACACCGGTTCCACGGTATAATTTTCGTTATTATCCCAATGACTACGGCGATTATAATTATGGTCAAATGGTCAATTGCAATATATGGTCAAATATCACTATCGTGACATACTCCTTTGGTCGATTAAAATTTCTTTTTAAACTTTGTCACTTTCTTTTTAAAGTAAATAATTTGTGATTTCAGTTAACTATATCTTCTCTGCACAATTATCAATCACATAGTTTTTATTTTATTAATATTCGTGCCGGTCAAACTTGACCAAATTTTAATGAAAGAGTGTAGTACTAAAATGGTGAAAACTACGGTACCCAAATAAAAAATGGGGTATGAATGTATGATACTGATCATTCATTAATTGGTCCAATGCATTGTATCACTTTTAATTTTTATTTAAATAATTTAATACAATACTTTGATTGATCCATGTGATAAAAGTATGATATCTTAGAGGTACCATATAATCTACATACCTCATATAATTAGGTCTTTGTTTTTTATGGTTTTTAGTTACAAATTGTCAATCTTTCTTCAGTTACGTTAAAACGACATTCTAGAATAATAGAATCAGCGGTAAAATAGGCAGAGGAAGTGCAACTTATGTTAAAACCATCCATATGGTTTTTTTATCCATTCTAAAATTAGTACATAAATTACTTAAAGAGAGAGAATATATTTAGTTCAAACCTTCAAATAGAGATTTGTCAGTTTAGCACTTCAACAACATTTTTAATTTAATGCTTAGTATTTAAGACTGAGTAATCCACTGAATTACTGTGACACATGACCATCAGAAATATTAATGTGTATGCAGCAATTTAAGTCTTTCAACGGTTGCATAATGACACTGCTCCTCCATTTATTTATACTGAAAATTCAAGTTGAAGAGTTGAGTCACTTTTTTTAAAAGACAAGCGTCTAAGTTCACGGTACGTGTTCACGTAGATTATTTGTTGAAATAAGACATTCTACTATTATTAAATAGTCACATAAGATCATGTACTCAATAAAGTGTCATATAAGTATCTCTTCTTATAAAAATCAATCAAATGAGTCCTAATGACCTATTTAACACCTCTTAATTCCGGTTTCAATGTACTTGTGACCATTTTTTTAGAATACATTATGCGGCATATGTCGAATATTTAACTAAGATTGGTTGAAATACAAGTCAAAAAAATCTACATGTAAGTTAAAATCGGGATTAGGAGGTGTTAAGTAAGCCGTTAGGACTCATTTGATTGCTTTATACAAGTAGAGATACTTATATGACACTTTATTGAGTACATAACCTTATATGACTATTTCATAATAGTAGAAGACCTTATTTAACTATTTTCTCTTATTTTTATTACTTCTTCGATTCCATAAAATTTGTTCAAATTTCCTTTTTGGTCGTCTCAAAAAACTTTGTCATCTATTTATATATAAGAAAACAAATAGCTCCTTAAAAGACAATTTTATCCTCAAAATAATTTAGGTGTCACTCTCTCCACTATTCACTCCTTCATCACACAAATGACATGTGGCAATTTCAAGGATAATACGGCAATATCAACATCAAAAGGAGGTTGCTATATACTCTCAAAAAAACGTGGCATCAAATATGTGGGCCCCAATGTATAATAAACATCATTTTTAAAAAAGTGTTATAACTTTTTAATCGTTTATCTATTTTTTATGAAAAGAATATCAAAATTCATATTTTTTTACTACCTTTCATATGACGCCAATATAGCATATATAAATTTAAAAGACTCTCAAAACTTATTAAATAACCTTCATATTTTCCAACATCAATATTGTTCCTTATTAAATAATAAAATAATTTTAATATATTTTGTAAAGCTTAGAGTTAAAATGCAACAGTTGTAACACTTTGAATAAAATAGAGTTTCAAAATAAGGATAGTGGATAAAAGTATGATTTATTGACATTTAGTGACTATAATAAGAAGTCAGCCCTTATAATAAAAAATGTTTATATGCTCATTTTTCATTTAAAATTATGTACAATTTGGTGACCTTATCAGTTCATTTTTTCGCTAAATTCTTAAATTTTGATTTAAGACACTGTATTTTGTAATGATCAAAATAAGAAAGGTTGGAAATACTTTTCTTCTTGGATTGAATGAAGTTACTATAAACGAAAATTTTAGCTAATTTTTCTAATAAATGTTTCTTTGCTTTCTAAATTAAATATACTTTAAATTTAAT